GGCAATTTCCAGAAGGTTTCCTACTTATGCCAAGTTCTTTTGAGGGTGGCACCACTCATTTAGAAAAACTCCTGGCTGCTTCCTCTGAATAATTCGCTGTGTGGCCTTAGAGAACAACCCAGCCCATTCGATATTGTGGTTGATGACAATAATGAAAATAAATATTAGGTTTGTGCATTAAGAGCTCCCGAGCAAGGGACCCAATGTATTTATTTTTGCTCTCTGCTTCATTTCTTGCAGTGAGAAAGGTTTATTATAAATCACATTAGACGGCAGGGGATGGAGGGAACTTGCGCACATTTGGCAAAAGACCAACCTCCTTGGGCCCTCTTTTCTTACACTAACCCCAAGCGAAGCATAACCATGTTTTTATCACTCTGGAACAAAGCTTAGTAGTATAATGAGCACTGCTAGTGGTTAACACAATCCCCTCACACCAGGAGCTTTTTGTTAGTTGGCAGTGGGCTGTATTTTACTTTGTTATCTATTTGGCAGTATTTTCTGCCGTTCTCTATACATGGTTGCAAGCATGTTGGTTCTTCAAGCACATGAAGTGAAAAATCTCTAACTTGGCTTTGAACTGCCTCCCTTTCCCAACGCTTCACCTAAAAGCTATAATTAAGCTTATTTTTCATGTTCCACATCTTCCCAGTGTGTTACCTTTCACTCTCACAGATAACCAAGCCATTGATTTGGCTGGAACATTTTGGATTTTCAGCAACGGTACCTAAGGAGCTTCTTCACAAAGCAGCTCTCCAAGAGTTCATCTGTGTCCCTCGACAAGATCTAAAAAGCCTTAAAATATTCTATATCGATTTGTTTGGGAGAAGCGGGGAGGGGGAAGGTTTAAGCTACAGGACTTTTTGCTGCTTCATGCAACACTGCTAACAACTTTCAAAGGCCGTCAATGAAAAAGTCATTTGGACTGTGCTCAGAATAAGCTCTGTCTACTCTCAGTGCCCATCTCGCAATTGGATAATGCCTCACTTGGGTAGCTGTCCTCAGGCACAGGCAATCTCAGTATAGCTTTATGAGGCACTGGAGTGGAAGAGACACTTATGGGTCCAAGTACAGCTGTGATTGCAAGACAAAAAAGACTGCAGAAGTCTGGGACTTAATATTTGGCACAGTTTGGCACGGGGAAGAAAAGCGTGCAATATTTAGAGCAAATGTTTCCTCAAAGCCTGAAAATCGAGGTATAGTTCCTCCTTGAATTAAAAGCAGAGGAAAAAATTGCTCATATACTGGAAAAGTTTTCCTTTTGATGCAGAAGTATAAGAATGATCTGCCCTCAGAAGAGAACACCACATCTATGTTTTTGCATGAGATTGCAGTTTGCTGGTCAGGAAAGCCCAAAGTTGTAATTTGCCCAGATGCAAAAGGCAACCTCTGCTGAGGGTATACAAATATTCAAGGTCAGTTCTTCTGTTCCTTATCAGTCATGTCTGATGACCAACTATACCCAGTACAGAAACACATATAGTCATCTGAAGCAGTCGCTGTGAGAAGCTGGTGGGGCTAGAACTGGGAAACTATAGCTCTGCGTGGAGTTGCCCAATTTGGTGAGCATTGAGAACTGCAACTTGGAACATCTTCCTGTCTGAGCTGGGTCTTTCATTTATGTATTTAAAGCATCCCTCTTCTCTCCCCCGCCCCCCGGCCAACACTCTCCAGCAAAATATGGCTCCCAGAGTGGCTTACAAATAATCCCTGCCCTCAGGCTTGCAGTCTAAAAGACATCACACACACGCACACACACACACACACACACACACACAAAAGGAATTGGGAGGGAGAAAGAAAACTGAATAAATAAAACTGTTTAAAAATACTTGCATTGACCAGATGGGATGGAAAGATGTCAAGGAGCAGAGGAGCTCAAAGTTGCTAGTCTTTCAGCTGAGGTGATGGAGGGGCCCAGCAGCTCCATCTCTCCCACTGCCTACAGTCTGATGGAAGGCTGCTAATGACAGGTGAAGGAGTCAGATGGAGCTGGTCTAGCAGGAGAGTAGATGGAGAGGCCCTTCAGTAGCTTTTCCTAAGCAACATCCCCCCTCCCGTAGTTCTGTGTGTTTCTTCGCTCAGAGGGGAAAAAAAGTTTTGGGTGGGTGATGGTGAACAAAGGCAGTGCTCAGCCCTTGGACCACCTCATAATGAGATCCACTATCTTGCAGATTCTGAAGCAGACTGTTGCTTTGATTCAGGCCGAGATCCACTGTTATGTACCCTAGAACAATAGGCAAGTAGGATCCTAGAATGCAATAACTGATTGGCTTGCAGAAGAAGACCAATCAGGTTCCGGAAAGAAGTTAATCAGCCTATTAGGCTGGTAGGATCGTAGAACGCAACTACTGATTGGCCCTCAGGAAAAGACCAATCAGGCTCCAGGAGGGAAAAAGAATCAGTCAATCATTGTGTAAATAATGTATATAAAAGCCTGAGGTCTGAGGGGCAATTCAATCACTGTTTTACAAGCTGCAATAAAGAGCATGAAATCACTACAGGTCTCCGAGTATATTTCATCCACCTTGATCGGATCAGGTGTATTAGCTTTAGAATCTCAGTAGGGCAGATTCCTGCTCCATCCTTAGAGGGCACTCCTGAAGTTTCTCACTGGATTGGTGTTCATGCAACAAGGCCAATGTCTGTAATCTCCACAACAGCCTCCCCTCTTTTTCAGTCTCTGTAACTGAAACCACTAGAGCGACTGATCACTCTTCTCTGCTGTGAACAGCATAGCAGAATCAGTCTACTAATGTACATGTTAAATAAGCTTCCCAAATGCCTAAAAAAGAAAACTTAATGAATATCAGCTTATATGCTTGAGCACAAATGATTACGATAATACCATATTACTGCAGGCAATTAACTTACACTTTATTTAAGATTTACTTGTTCACGGTTAGCAGGGATACATCCCTCCTGGGTGGCGACCAGATGTTTTTTAGCACACACGCTGTAATTTCAGCTGTTATTGCTGTATCTATGCCTCAGTGGTAATGGAGCCAACACTGTCCAACAAGTATCCGAAATAGGGCTGTTTGGTGGACAACGCAGAAGCGGCTCCGTAATAATGAGGAGACACCAGTCTGCACTGCTGCAGCATGTAAATAATTTCTGCACAGCCAGCTGTTTTAGCTAATGGAATCCATGGCTGCCCTTTTCACCCAGAGGAACACACATGCATGCACAGGCAGGCACAACCTCCCCCTCCCGTTTTCTTGTAAAGGCAAGTGAAAAATCACACCAGCAAAACTCCTTCTTAGACACCCCAGGGAATTAGTGTTGTTGGCAGGATGCAGGACTCATGATCCCTTACTAGGCTGGCATTCCTTTCAGTTGTGACATCATCTCAAGGTTATCCAAGCCAAGCATCTCCATCTTCCAATTTCTGTGATCATCAGATTACCTGTGTATGCATTTATCCCCATGTAAAAAGGCAGGGGGATAAATGAATTTGAGTCAGAGATTGGCTGTTTCCATAGCTGGATAGCCAATGTGGTGTCATTTAGAGTTTGTGGACTACAGTTCTTATCAGCCCCAGCTAGCATGGCCAGTGGTCAGGTATGATGGGTGGTGGGTCCAACTCCATCTAGATAACCCCCATCCTATTTTGTGAAGCATATCTTCAGCAGGCAATGAAGCCTACCACAGCAGGGGTTAACATGATGGGATTGAGAACCTCTGTTGGCAAGGTACAACCCAACTGCAGGAAGAAAAATCACATGATCAGCAGCAGCTGGAAGCTGCCAGAAAGGCTGCTAGAGGAACGGTTGGATGGGACCATAAGATGCTCCGTGTGTGTGCAAATTTGAGGCTGGAAGGAAGACTGAACAAGAAGAGACCCATAGATTTGGTGGAGAAAATTGACAAGGCTCTTCAGGGACAGATGACACACTGTCACCTTTCAGGATTCTGTCAGTGGCTCCCAGATGGTTGCCAAGGAAAGTATAAAGACAAGGAAAAGTTTCTTACAGTCCTTTTTTTATTTCAAACTTTACAGAGGCTGTAGAACCCAGCCTCTTGGATAATGGCATTGTCCCAAGTGAATCTCCACTCCCTTCTCTCCCACTTCCTCATTCGTCATCATCATCACCTCTTCTACGAGTCCCACTAAGTGCCCTCTGCCTTTGAGCTCTTTGCTCTCCTACTTTTAAGGCTCATCAGGTTCTGGGAGATGGTGGGCCTGGAATGCTTTCTAGTGACAACATGTCATCCAGCTGCTGATCCGGCTCTGCCTGCTCCTCCTCTCCTATTATTTCCCAACTTCCCCATCATCTGCCTCTGAGCTGTGACCTCCTGCAAACCCCTGTTGTAAATCTATCCTGTCTTCCTCTTCCTCCTCCCTGGAAGGTTCAGGATGGGGAAGCAGTCTCCACCTTTCCTCCTCCTCTGCCCAGCCCTGGGCATCACCTGGGCATGGAGATGTTCCCCCCTTGTGCACAGTCCTGATCAGCCAGCATGAAACCCAGGATTACAGAGAGAGAAGGTAAGAGGCGTATTTTCTAAGGATAGATGAATCTGTCAGTTCCAATTCCTCATGTTTTCAGTCTTAAGTTCAGGATGCTTTAGCAAACAGAACCATGAACCGATGAAGAGGGAAGTCACTGCGAGGCAATTGGGGGATTTACTTGAACCGATAAGAAAAGTGAAGTTAACTCCAGGAATAATTGTGAGGGGGTCAGTAACTAAAAACAAGCAAACATAATACTTGATAGGTGTCCATGCCCTGTGCTTTGGAGAGTACAGGACTTCCTCCCGGAGGAATAAAGGACTCACCAAAACCTCTCAGTGAATGGTAAAGCATTTGAGGGCTCTGGGAGCCCAGTGAGAGAAAGTATTCTCACAGTATAATGCCCTTCATCCAACAGAGTCGAAGTTGGTACAATAAAACCACCACACTGGCAATAACATAGGAACATAGATATAGGAACTATAGGAGACTGCCTTATAACAAGTTGGTCCACTGGTCCACTGAGCTAGGCATTGCCTTTGCAGACTGGAAGCGGGTTTCTAGGGTTTTAGACAGGGAGCATTCCCAACCCTAGGATCTTCTGCACTCAAAGTAGATGCTCTACCACTGAGCTACATTCCTTCCCCAATATGAGGCAGCAGCTAAAAAGCATACAGTAAGCTGAGACTTTGCACATGTTGGAATGCCTAAGAAATAGGGCTACCTTAGCCTGGCACACAACAAACAAACAAATGTGTAATGCAGTTTCAAATACATCAGTTTGTAGAGGGTGCTCCATAATCAGGGCACCACCACCGAAAAAGCACTCTCCTTTGTTGTTGCAACGTGTACCTCCTCACCGAGCCCCTCATTTCACAGGGCCCTTTGGAACTTAGTGAGAAATGTGCCACATCAGTTATAAAGGACAGACACATATTTCAAAAACATTTCTAGTGTTCTCTCACCATGAAGGTGCTCAGTGATTCATATATTTCTAGGTCTGCCAGTTTCTACTGTTTCACATACCAAGGTCCTAAATTATGATGGAACTCCTGGACTGGGCCTATCACAGTGGAATGGAATGCTGATGGCAAATTGTTGTAAAATGTGAATCTTCAGAGCCTTAAAAGCAGCCTATTTGAGTCCAAAGAGCATCTATTATCCCGGAACATTACAGTTCCATAGAAATCTGCAGAACAGGAAGTAAAATGGTTTCTCATTATCTGAAATATCCATTTGACGATCTTATTATTTATTTATTGCATTTATGTCTCATCTTTTCTCCGAAGTGCTCAGAGTAGTGTACGTGATTCTCCCTTTCCTCATTTTATCCTCACAACAACCCTGTGATGTAGGTGAGGCTGAGAGACTGTGACTGGCCCAGGGTCACCCAGTGAGTTTGATGGCCTAGTCTAACACTCTAAACACTACACGACACTGCCTCTATAATATAGTGGTTTACAGTCAGGTTCCCCTGACTGTGTGAGTGGGTTTTTTGTTTTTTTTTAATCAGGAGTCACTATGGGGCATTAATACTCTATTGTTCTGGCTGCTAGAACTTTCAATCATCTTCCCTTTAAAACCATTAATTCCATGAAGTTCATTAGGGATGGCTGGATGCATGTTATCTTCACTGTCTTCATTCAGCAAGAGGTGTAGCTGTCAGGATGACCAAATTTCAGAGCTCCACAAATAATAGAAAGGTTGGGAAGATGGAATGGCAGGAATGTCTGTGGATGCTGATATATCTAGGACAATTTACAGAAGGAAAAAGATCTTGATATAGTGTGATGAACAGTGCAGGTGGTGGCCTTCATGCCTGCTGCCCTCTTTGACTGTCCTGGCTGCATTAGAAGGCTTCATCTTCTCTATGTAGCTCAAGCCCAAGATCTGCCTTGCTTGCTGCTAATGACATGCTCTCATTTGCGGGCACAGCCAGGGTTCATGTGTGGGTTGTGGAGGAATACATGTGCGCGTGTGCGTGTTTAAAAATGAGATGAATCAAAGCAGAGCAATGAAAGAACTGCCGCTGCTCTGCACAGTAATGAGCAGCTGTTCTCCGCCAAGGCTGCTGGATGCAATTGGATGCTTCAATTAGAGCAGCTTAGGGAAGAAAAAAGAGCAGTCCTTCTGGACACCATTGTGAGGATGCAAGAGCCATTGCTGTTCTAAGGGATGTAACCAAAGCCACAAATTGCCTATAGAAATGGAGACATATGGCTCCCAACGACAACTGGAACAAATCCACTCCCCACAAAGACTTTGTCGTGGGATGTTATATGAACACGTGACTATTTGCCAAATATTTACTGCCACAGAAATGCTGCTGTTTGATTCAACAGTCTTTCCCAACCCTACCTGCAGATCCCAAGGATTGAACCTGGGACCTTCTGCATGCAAAGCACATGCTCTGTCACTAAGATACAGTCCTACTCCTAGATATTTGACATTGCTCAATAGCTTAACACAGGATGCAAGCTTCTCTAGAGGTAGGTCCTGTTAAATACAGTCAGCCTAACTCCTGAGCAAACATGCCTGGATTGAGACAACTTCAGTGTAATTCTATTTCACCATAGCCTGGTGCCCAAGAGTAAGGTGAGCAGTAAGTCAGGAAGTGTCCCATTGAAATAATTTCATTTTATGAACTCACTTGATGGCCCTCGGCAAGCTACTTAACCCCCCATTTCCAATAGTGGAACCCTGGTTCTCGAATGTAATCCATTCCAGAAGTCCATTTGACTTCAGAAGTGTTTGAAAACCAAGGCGTGGCATCCGGTTGGTGCAGGCGCCCTGGAAACAATAGCTGATAGCTGCATCGGACATTCGTGTTCCGAAAAATGTTCGAAAACTGGAACATTTACTTCCTGGTTTTTGGTGTTCAGGAACCGAAATATTCGAGTACCAAGGTGTTTGAGAACCAAGGTTCCACTGTATGGGGATAAAATCACTGCCTAACCTTAAAGGCTGAAGATTACTGAGGTAAAATGTGTGTAAAGCACGTTGAGGCTTTGAAAAGTATTGTTATGACTAAATCACCTTGTTCGTAGAGTAGGTGCTTATGTGGATTTATTCATTGAGATACCAAGATGGTCTTGCAATCGTTAATGAGGAATAAAGGAGGTTGCCTTATACAGAGTCAGACTGGGGGTCGTCTAGATGAGCAATGCTGACACTGACTGGCAGAGTTTCAGACAGGAAGTCTTCCCCCAGCTCTACCTGGAAATGCCAGGGACTGAACCTGGGGCCTATTTTTGTTTGCACTGTGAACTTGTTATCCAATTAGAGGGTATATTTCCATTAAAATGCACTCAAAATCCCATTTAGCCCTTTAACAGCGCAGAAGCAGCGTCTTCGTTGGGCAATCCGTCAAATGTCAGACGTTCCTACCACACTATTTCAAACCCAAATGCCCAGCTCTAATGAGCTCTTCCAAGAATGTGTCAAATGGAAGCTGCTTCCCCATTAGCTGAAAGTAATTTTGTACCTTTTAGAGCTTCTAATTGCTGTCTTTCTCTCCCTCTGCATACATACACCAGATTTATAATTCATTTTTTGGAACCGGTCATATTCAGAGAGTGAGACTTCGCTTTGAAAAGAGGAGTCATTATCTGCAGCTCGTGAATGCCTATGAAATGATTACCTTGTCAGGGCTGTACTGAATATGAGGTAAATCCAGGTTTGGGACTCTCACCATCTTATCTAGGACTGTGTGAGAGATACTTAATGGCTTAGATGTGAATGTGGCCCATCCTGCTGCTTTCTGCTAAGGCTATGAGTGGTTCAGGAAAGGAATGAGGAAATCAGACTTAAGTGGATTTAAGGACGATTAGCCGGATCACCTCAAGGCTGGAGAGCAGCAGGACTAATTCCAGAGTATGGCCCCATCTGCACTATACCTTTAAAGCAGTATCAGAAAACTTTAAAAGCAACCTGGGAACTGTAGCTTGTTAAGAGTGCTGAGGGTAGTTAGGTGACCTCTATTCCCTTCACAAGCTACAGTGCCCAGAATGGTTTAACAGTCATTCCTTCTTCCCAGGGAATTCTGGGAATTGTAGCATGGACCTGTATGATCTTTGCCATTCATCAGCCAGCGATGCAAACCCTCTGCACTTAACGGTACATTGGAGCATGTTGAATCAAGCTCTTAACGTGTAATGGCTTTTATTAAAGAGTCATACATACAGTTAGCCAATTCTAAATTGGGATGACATTATTTATTTGCCCTCTTGCTGTTTTTAAAAATTAACATATGCAAATTAGCCACGACATTTTCTTTTCCCATAGCAGAAGTTGCAAACTTAGCCATGGATAATAAAATGGTTCTCAGGGCATATTAAGGATGACATGAGTATGTATGAGCTGTCTGAAAATCGGCAAGCCCTTAGATAATTTACCATCTAAGCTGTTTTGCATTGAAAATCAGAAAGACAAAAAAAAAATGATTTACAGAACTCAGCAAGTTCTAATGCAGTCTTCGATGGTGTGGAAGAAGCCAAGTTGTTTCCCACCTACTTGCTAAGCGATGAGGGATGGATAAGGAGAATACTCAGTGCTGAGTTTTCTTTGGTGTGTTTGTTGAGAATGGATGGAATTCATTTGGTGCCCTTGATGCTCATGAGATGGGCTCTTGATGCAGTAAAATCATCTACTAACAGAAAAGGAGAGGAAGCAATTTTGAGTGATTCTCTGTTCCCTCTGCAGCCCCCCATAACACCTCCCACCCCTTTCTGGAAATTCATCCAACCTTCTGGAGTTGATTTTCCCACTTCACATTGACACCTGGCAATGTCTTTTCTGTAGAACTCTCTCTCTAGAGGCAAGGTTCACCACATTATTAAACTTCTGCCACCTGGTTAAAATGTACCCGTTCTCTTATACCTTTGGATATATTTAAGTTGTTTTAATTTTACCTTGTGCCCAACATTAGGAAGATTATGGTCTGTGTGATCTGCAAATGTTTGTTTACTTAAGATAGTTTATACTGTATTTATTGATGTTGCATCGTTTAATTTATTAAGTTTTTGGTTATGTTTTAGTTGGAAAACACCTCGTGGTTGCTATTTACTTTGGATGATAAAAAGTTAATTCCTCTTTCTGGATGTTCCTTGCCTGCCAGAGCCATGACATCTGTAGAGTCATTTTATGGGTTTTTTTTTTCTGGGGGGCAGCTGAATTACAGGACCCTGGACATCAGCCCTGAATGAAGTCCAGCCGTAGGTGCTCCTGGCAGAAACATGCAAGCAAAAGCCCTTCCATGAACACTACTGAATGTGTTGGAAACAGTAAAGAAAGCATACATACCGGTATTTTATTTTATTTATTTAATTTTATTTCAAAGCATGCTTAAACTGCTTAATATTTTAAAAATCTCTAAGCACTGTACAATATAAAACCAAACAATATCATTAAAACAAAAATACAAACATCAAACCAACAATACAGTAACATAAAAGCATATGCAAACAAATGAACAAATAAAACAGGAATGCAGTAGGTTCAGAAAAACACATAAAACAAGGTCTGGTCCTTTGGGTCAGGGAAAGCTTGGGCAAAAAGATATGCCTTTACAAGATATCTTGAGCATCCAGTGGTTTCTGCTTCACATGTAGCAGAGTGAAGGGCATTCCATAGTCCATTCTCTGTTCGCCACCCTCTGATATTCTGCAGGGCACATTCAACAGATTATTCAGATTATTCAACAGATAATTCAACAGATTATCTAAGTGGTTTTGAAGGTCATTTTAAAGATAGAGATGCTTCTGAAATGTATGCGTTTCAGTTGTTCCCCAGACTCTGAAATTCCAAATTAACTGCTATTGTTTCTGGAAAAGAACTGAATGCATTTATTTATTCTTCTTTTACATTTCTGAATTTTTTCCGTGGGCATAGCAATCCATTTTCCTTCCCATGGGTTTTCTCTGACAGCTTCAAATTTGAGGGTGGGTTGGAGAACGAGATCCCGGCATTCCCTGCCAGCTGTGCACCACTGGATTGCTCATCCTTTGTTTTTTTCTGGGGTAGTGGAATCCACATACAGGGTGCTTTTTACCAGGGTGTTCCCCAAGAGGAGAACAATGCTTTCAGAGATGATGGCACACCTTTCAGGGGGAAGGGACAAAGTGAAACATTCATGCAATTCACAGCAGCCAGAAAATATCTCCCGGTAAAAGCTGAAGTCCAAACATCTCACAGTGTCAGGGGCGCGTATTGACAGGTGTATACAGTATATCCTGGGAGGTGGGTATTGTGTGGATAGTCATTATTTCCTTTTAAAACAGATTCAATTTGCAGAAATACATCCCCCTCCCAATCTCTTCAAACGGGGAAAAACTAACAAAAGAAAGCTCACTGTTCCCACATGAAATGGGCTTGACTCTCTTGTAATGCAGTTGACTCATTCAATAGGGGGAATATTGATGCTGCAATCCATTTTAAAACAGGTTGGCATTGAAGTTTCTGAGACTATGCAAATGTGGTGATCTTGTTATGTGAAGCATCTTATTTGTGCGGGCAGCCAGAGAAAGCAAATGGATGAAATTAAATTATTTTTGTCTATACCCAAATGCCGGTACTAAAGCAATTCCCAGAAGCATGAGACCTATTGATATACCTTAAAGAATGGGGCACCAAATAAAGGAGGCTGATGGGCAGAAAGCTCTCAGGAATGCTAATGCATGATTCATTGTTTGCCATTGGTCTGTCACCATCACTTTTGGTTAGTATGCATAAAGCAGGGCTTGTGGGGCGGGGATGCTGATGGTTGAATGTGGCCCTTCAGCTTTTTCAGTATGGCTCTCTGCACTCACCCCAAGCAATGCTCCTCCTCAAGAAACCTCCCCTTATTTGCAGCCCCCAGCCCTCACTCACCTGTTCCATGTACTGGTAGCCACTGAAGTCCTTATCCTGCGTTCTTATTCTCAGTTGTAAAGAGACTTGCAAGGTAACCATTTGAAAACCCTGCACTTGCAAAAATGACATATCCTCTTTGTCGATATATGCCCCAGTCGCACAATGTCAATTTACAGCAAGGGAAGAATATTCACAGAAATAAAAATTCATATATCTTTATTAAAAAGTCAGCTCATGACAGTTCAGACTTCATGGGGATCAGGTCGTCTGTAGCCTCTGGACATACTATAGCCTGTGCGTCTTCAGGTTGCCAACAAATTACTGAAGCAAGGTAATAACTCAACTCACTTCATGGCAGGAGAGATCACAAATGACCAGTGCACCATGTAAGTACAGCCACAAGAGGGTTTGGTTTAAGACAGATGATTAAGGGAGATGATTGCATGATTCCAGGCAATATTAGCTTCAGGTGTCGATTATCACGGTCAATCTTTGTGAAGAGCAGGGATGTGAACAGGCCCATCAGATTTGCCTAGTAAATGAATGTTTTATAAAATGTCAAGTCACTCTCTGCTCTCTCTTCT